TATTTAGGTGATGCAGGTGATGCATCTAGGCATTCAGGTGATGCATCTAGGCATTCAGGTGATGCATCTAGGTATTCAGGTGATGTATCTAGGCATTCAGGTAATGCATATAGGTATTTAAGTGATGCGTATCTAGCTATTCAGGTGATGTCTCTAGGTATTCAGGTGATGCATCTAGGCATTTAGGTGATGCATCTAGCTATTCAGGTGATGTATCTAGCTATTCAGGTGATGCATCTAGGCATTTAGGTGATGCATCTAGGCATTTAAGTGATGTATCTAGCTATTGAGGTGATGCATCTAGGTATTTAGGTGATTATCTAGGTATTCGGGTAATGCATCTAGGTATTTAGGTGATGCATCTAGGTATTTGGGTGATGCATCTAGGTATTTGGGTGATGCATCTAGGTATTTAAGTGATGTATCTAGCTATTCAGGTGATGTATCTAGCTATTCAGGTGATGCATCTAGGCATTGAGGTGATGCATCTAGGCATTGAGGTGATGCATCTAGGCATTGAGGTGATGCATCTAGGCATTGAGGTGATGCATCTAGGCATTGAGGTGATGCATCAAGGCATTGAGGTGATGCATCTAGGCATTGAGGTGATGCATCTAGGCATTTAGGTGATGCATCTAGGCATTTAGGTGATGCATCTAGGCATTCAGGTGATGCATCTAGGTATTTAGGTGATGCATCTAGGCATTCAGGTGATGTATCTAGCTATTCAGGTGATGCATCTAGGCATTTAAGTGATGTATCTAGCTATTCAGGTGATGTATCTAGGCATTTAGGTGATGCATCTAGCTATTCAGGTGATGTATCTAGGTATTCAGGTGATGCATCTAGGCATTTAGGTGATGTATCTAGGTATTCAGGTGATGCATCTAGGCATTTAGGTGATGCATCCAGGCATTTAGGTGATGCATCCAGGCATTTAGGTGATGCATCCAGGCATTCAGGTGATGCATCCAGGCATTTAGGTGATGCATCTAGGCATTTAGGTGATGCATCTAGGTATTCAGGTGATGCATCTAGGTATTCAGGTGATGCATCTAGGTATTCAGGTGATGCATCTAGGTATTCAGTGATGCATCTAGGTATTCAGGTGATGCATCTAGGTATTCAAGTGATGCATCTAGGTATTCAGTGATGCATCTAGGCATTTAGTGATGCATCTAGGTATTTAAGTGATGTACTTAGTATTCAGTGATGCATCCAAGTATTCAGTGATGCATCTAGGTATTCAGTGATGCATCCAGTATTCAGTGATGCA